TTTATTTTTATTTTCAAAAAATATTTTAGGAAAAGTTGTTCTAAGAAAAAAATTGATATTTCAACTTTTTCCTTAACATTTTTTCAAATTTATTTTATTTTTCCTAACAAAGTTCACACAAAAATAAAATATATAATAAAAATAAAAATATATAAAAAAAAATTAAGCAAAAAATGAAAAAAAAATTATGAAGAAAATACTAAAAATGCCCTTGTTAATATGGTTAAAAGTCCAAAAATGATCCGATTGATTCAGTGCATTTCAATAAGTCTAAAATGGTTCTAAATGGTCCAATTGGTTTAGTGTGGTTTGGAACGGTTCGGCGCGATTCAAAGTCATCTTGAATGGTTCAAGCCAGTTCAAGTTAGGCTAACTTGGTTCGACTCAAAAGGTACATACTTGCAAGTTGGATGCACGGATCTCAAGTCGAGTCACTTGTCGGCACATAAATCATTTTGCCAAAATGATGTCGTTTCATTTTTTTAACTATAAAAGTTAATTTTTAACTCATTTTCTTTCTGCTCTCTCTCTCAATCACTCTCTCTCTCATAAAAAATAATAGATGGCCAACCACCAACTTAAATACAAAATTTGGTCGGTCAACAAGGCCAGTCATCATCGCTTCTGTGTCGGCCATTATTGTTGGTGGTCAAAAAAATCTCAAAAATTCAACCTTTGCTATTTTAAACCTCATGAACACAATTTTACCTCTTTTTCACATAAAATGGCTTCAAACAACATAGATCAAGCTTTGAATTTTTTTTTTGTGTTGCTTTTCTTCATTTTCTAGGGGATGTGTTTATATATATATATATGTGCGGGGGGTGGGTTGGTGGTTGAAAATACAAGAGATTTAGAATGGGAATTTCGACAATGAGCTTTTGATTTTTCAAAAAAAAAAATTTCATTTGGCAAAGTTTTCTCTTCACTATCTTCTGGGTTTAGCTTTGTGTCTTGTTTGTGAATTGCAAGCTCAATTTTAGAGCTTTTGAAGCCCTCAAATCCCATGCTTTATGGGATTATAAATACTTTTAGAGGCTGTTATGGTGACTTTGTTACTAGATTCAGTGTTGAGTAGTAGGTGGATGTTGGGGCAGTCTGAATTTCGTGCAATAAATGCACTAAAGACTTCAATGAAAGGATGAAGAAAAATCAAGGAAAGGAGGAAAAAAAACAAAAAGATGGCAAAAAGAACAAAAAAAAAAAGAGAAAATGAGAAAAAAACAAGGAATAATAATAATAATAATAATAATAATAATAATAGTACAAGAATAACTGATAAACTTAATTAAATTATTCGATAGACCCGAATAAAATCAAGAATTGATTTGAGTTTATTTTTTCACAATATCTGATTTTTCAGATAAAATAGTTGTCTACAATACTCATATCGTATTTTACATGAAAATTACATGTTATAATTTGTTTCGACATGAAAACATAAAATATATTTTTTTTGTTAAACCCATATATGATTTTTACTAAAATTTTAAATTGTGTCACCTTAGCATCTTTTATTCATACATTTTTATATGATAGCACCATACCATATTTTAAATTATCAAATCTAATTGATTTTTATGTATGTTTGATTTTATTTTTATTCTGAGTTGATATCAAAATTGTACTTATATATATAATTATTTTAAAAAAAGTATAATTTAAAATAAAAGAAAAATGTTAAAATAATTAAATTTAAAATTTAAATTTATTAAAAACATATCATCTCTTAAAATAATTATATAAATTTATTTTTAGATTTTTTATCCCTATAGGCAAACAATTTGTTACGTCAACAAAATAGATCTAATTGAGATAAAACACATGCCTAAAAATTTCATATCAAAGAAGACTAATAATAAGCATCCAAAATTGGATTAATTAAACTAAAAATAAGAGTAGATTAGTTGATTGGGTTTGAAATTTATTAGAGGTTACAATCCTATGTATCAAGTAGTGTTTTTTTTATTATTATTATTTCATGTGCATAAAAATGTCAAATGGACAGAGCTGTTTATAGGATGACACGATATGATACGAAATGGGCCATACTTGACATGATCCATTACTACAATTATAAGTCATACCAAGCACGATTCATAAATTTATACCTTGCTAAACTAAGGGTTTTGTCCATTGGCCTAGCATACCACGATCTATCAAAGGTCAATGTTAGTACGTGATACATTGGTTGGCACAACACGGGACATAAGTACTAATGTGCCGTGTTGGATTGGCTCATAATTATTATAAATGAGTTTAGTTCGATTGTTTTTAAATTATATTTTATTTTGCTCTTATCATATGATAAACATTTTTTTTTGTCCTTTTAAAACTTTATGTTAGTAGTTTATAAATTTTAAATTGTGTTATTAAATTTACTTATAAAATATTTATATTATAAATGCGCAAAATTACAATTTTTTTTTATTTTAATATATTACTTTATAAAGAAAATGAACTATGAAATGCATATTACTTAATAATCGGTTATGCAAAAACCTAGAATAAAAGAAAATACATTATATAAAACGGATCATCATATGAGGAGAATGAAAAATAAAATAATAATATGATATTTGTATTATTTTTTCTAATTTAAAGATAAATATTATTATTTATTAATTTTCACGTATTATTTTGGAAAATTCTTTTAATTTTTTATTATAAATATAAATATTTTGTTGAACCATATAAATTATATGTCTCACGTATTAATTTCATATATTAGTTTTAAAATTGAAAAAGCAAAAAAAAAATAAAAAATTATTAATTGATAGAGCTTGATCTAATATGACAAAAATAATATCTTGCTAAGCATAGTAAATTTTTAAAAGTTATGGATTATATGTTGTACTAAATTATATTTTTAATTTTTAAATACTAATATTAAATTAACACTATCCATTAACACGGTAACTAATTTTTTAAATAATCGTGTTGATCGATAAGGTCTTTTGACAGCTCTACATGTGCACAAGCATGGCATAAATTTTCATTGAACAATTGTACAAGTTTTTATTTCAAAACCATTATTCCCGATATTAAAAAAAATTAAAGGCGAGATGCCCCATTGTATCCATAGTGAAGTGGTCCGAGTTTTGAGCCACGCGTTTCCCGTATTTTTGCCCCTCAAGTGCGTGTCACGTAGGCCTACCCTTCCATCCGCCCTTTTATTTGTTGCCTTTAGATTTATTTATTTATTTTTAAATTCTAAAAAAATGGATATGAACTTTTTTATTAAAAATAATTTAATAAAAATAATAAATTAAAAATTCTTATGGTATAAATTAAATATAAAAATTTTTAAAAATATTTAATAAATTTTGATATATTTTTTATATAAAATATTTTTAATAAAAATTTTGAAAAAAATTTGTATTTAAATAAATATTAATTAATTTTAAATTATAAATAATAGTTATAGTAATTTTTACATATTATTAACTTTTTCATTAAATTATATTAATTCATTACTTTTGATTTTTAATTTTTTATTAAATTATTCTTAATAAAGAATTTCATAAATTTTAATTAAAAAATTTCACATGACTTTTTTCCCGTTCCGCGTTTCATAGACTCGCTTATTTACCGACAACCGCCTCTTTACCGGTTTTCTGTTCCTAGTCAAGTCAAGTAAACAAGGTCAAGGCGGATCTCTTTTCAACTTTGAATCATTTTACAGTTGAAATTTTTATGACATCAATTAATTAATTAATTAATTGTTAATTGTTTACTAAAAGAAAAACAAATGATTGCAAATGTCGCTTTTATAAGATAAGCAAAATATAAATAAAAAAACCGCTTGAGATTATCCATTCTATAAACCTTGCCCTTTTCTTTTTTTTCATATAGGTATGTTCAATGGAGTTAAGTTCAAGTTAAATTTATAATTGATATTAATAATTTATATATTTATTAGATTTAATTTAACTTAAAATTTAGAGTTTTAAATTTTTTAAGTTTGATTTAAATTAAGCAAATAGATTTTAAATTTATTCATTATATTTAATTTATATAATAAAAAATTAAAAAATAATTAAATTAAATTTAATAGGATTATATTTAATTTATATACATATAAAAGTTAAAAAAACTATATATGTAAAAATTATAAATAAAAATTATATAAAAATAAAAATTAAGTTTAATAAAATATATATGATTTTTGTTTTTAATATTTATATATATGTGAATTATTTATATATAATTTACATATAATTTACATATACATAAAAATAAAAAATTTATATATATAAATTCGGATCAAATCAAATAAAATCAAACCATATTTGAATTTTTAATTTTTTATACAAAATTCAACTCAAAATTTAACAAAAAGACTTAAAAATTATACCTACACTAATTAAACGGGCTTTAATATTTTATTCAAGTCTTCCAAAATTTGGATGAATTTTTAAATTTAGATAAATAACCCGATCCTTAAACATGTATTAGCATTTCTGTTACCATTAAAAAAATTTTAATTTAAAAAATATGGTTAGAAAATTTATTTATTTGATATTATGATAAAAAAAATAATATGAATCATTGAAATGTTTAAAAATATATATAAATAATAAAATATTAAAAATATAAAAATATTATTAAATTGGATTAATAGAATTTAAACTATTAACATTAATTTAAATTCAAAAAATTTGCTTCAATTTGAATCTAATCCAAGTTAATTAGATAAAAAATTAACAATTTAAACTCAATAAACTCGAAATCAATGATAAAATATTTAAACTAATTTTATTGTTATAATTTCTAAAAATCCAAAAATCTAATTCAATAATTTGAAAACAAATTTATCCCGACTGAAATAACTTAGTGACAAATCTACTCATAATTATTCTAAATATTTTCCATGTGAAACGATACTTACAAACTGGATCCTAACTGCCCTATTGCCATTGAGTTATGGAATATCATACTATATTTTTAATCCATCTTTATACAAATACAAAAGAATAAAAACCTAAAAAGAGAGAGGATGAGAAAAAGTACTAACAGATTGAAACCGTCCACGTGTCAGTAGAAGCAGTAGGTGGATAAAACTGGAATCATAACAGTTGGTGACGCGATCAAAAGCTTAACTCTCAGAATTTAAGTACTGTTTATTGAGAATTGCAGAGAAACTACATTGACTCTCTCTCTCTCTCTGTCGTTGATTTTGATTTCCTCTCAAAAGAATCCCCAAAATCTAGGGTTTTGTTTTTGTTCTTCTCGGTTAACCGGGTAAGTGTCTTTTTCAAAGTCCTTTACTCTCTTTCCTTTTTTAATTGGTTTCTTAAATTCTGATTGTTTTCGGTTGTTTCTTTATTTGGTAATTTTTAAAGTACAATTGCAATTTTTTGGGGTCTTGAGTGTTTGGTCTTTTTTTTTTCTGTTTAAAAAAATTTTTTTTGTAGGGTCTGTGTATTTTTTTTTGGCGACAATTAGGTATTTGGGTTTGAAATTTTTGAGGTTTTGGCTGTTGAATATGATGAATTGAGGTGATCTTTAGTGTGGGGCATTTTGGGCTTTGTGGGACAAGACAGGAAATGGGTTTTGTTGTAAATAATTTAAAATTATCGTTTCCATGCAGAACAGGAAATAAGGATTTTGAATTATTGTTGGAAACTAGAGAAGAAACTACTTTGTAATAATTAGTGAAAAAAGGCAAGGCTTGGAGGAAACTTTGAAGAGGCCAAGGAAAGAACTTTGTTGAGACATCAAAAGAATTTATAACTTTTTAATTTTTTTTAAAAGTTGGAAAAGTGAAGGGACTTGGTACAGATAAACTGTGAGAGAAGAACAGTGATTGAGAAATTTTGATTTTATTAGTAATAAAACTCAAAATCTTCGATTTATTTTTGGATCAGTTGTGCTGGCTTGTTTGTTTCATCCATTTTGAATATAGAGCAAGTAGCAAAAGCATACTGTATCATAACAAAATTTAGTAATAGCTATGATAGGTACACAAAATATATTTGTTTTGTCATTAGGAAGATTATTCAGTTCTGGGATTTGCTTACATGTGTGATCAAAATTTTGCGGTTATTGTTTTCATTCTCTTTTTAAAACAAATTTTGCTGAGAAATTATCACATACACTGACAGTGGAGATTTTAAACTCTAGAAGTGGGTGATACATGCCCCTTAGGATATACTGAAAAAATAAAAAATTTAATTAAAAATAGAAATGGGACATGTTTCAATCTCTTAACACCGCTTGTGGAATTAAAATTTATACTGTCAGTGAATCAAATACTAACTCAATTTTGCTTTATTATTCTGGTGAAAGCTGGGAATTTCTTTTTCTACTTTTTTTTTAAGTTCTCTTTTCATTTTCTCTATCTGCTTAAAGGAAAGACTGTAACTTCTAAAATAAGACATTTTGTGCTGGTTCTCTGTCAAATGTAATTCATAATTGTGTTTTGTTTGGTCTTGACATTTTTTTCATTTTGGCCATTACACTACAGGGTAATTCGAATTTGTATTCCAAGAACAATTTCCATGTTTGTATGTTTGGTATTTTTATGTTAAACTTGATTGGATGTGTATTTGCAGCAATGTTGATTTGAATTGCTTTTATCTCTGACGTAAAAAGATCAAACTCTTTCTCTTTCGGTTTGTACCTGGGGCTAAGAAGGGTTTTCTTCATCTGGCTTTCTAGATTGTGACAAATGTTTCATTGTGATAAAGCAGTTTATTTGGTCATAAATAATCATTTGTTTTGCATTTTCTATCCATACAGAAGAACACAGAATAAGAAATTGACTATCATTTGAGGGTATTGGGAGGAATGCAGTCAAAGTCTGAAGGTGGAAATCGATCAGAACCTGATTCGCGTGGTGTTCCTCCAACTGCAGTTTATTGTAAACCTTGGGGACGTAATATTGGTTATGGTGCCATTTCCCTAGGAGTGAGAGGAGGAAATGCATCAAATTCATCTTCAATGGAATGCCCTAATGGTTTGGAGAATGGCCAGTCACTGTCCAATGATGAACTAAATGAAGAGGATGATGGTAATAAAGAAACACAAGCTACCGCATCCTCTCGGTCAGGTACTTCACATCATTATTCTATTAATATCTGTAGGCAATACCGACTAAAAAAATGTTATGAATATAAATGTCACAGTCTCTGTGAAGCATGCTGGTGGACTATATTCTTCATCATTTCATGAATTTTGGGACTGAACATGGATCTATAGGTTATTCAAAATAGACATTGTTCGAGATTCTGTTTACTACTATTTTATGTAAACTTTGTGGTCTTTTCAAATGTGTTTGGAGTATTTTAGCAGACAGATCTACTGATTCAGTTAAACATACTGTAGTATCCGGAAGCCTAGGAAACTGGCAGTTGACCCATTTCCAAAGCTAATGTGGAAACTGGAAATAATTATGGAAACCTAGTTCGAGATGCTTGGTCTCTCTAGACTGGTATAAGTAGATATGCTAAGCCTTGCTAGTAATATTTTTCCATGCCCAATATGGAGCCTTATGCTATGTTTGGATATATATTAATAAGGAAAGGAAAGTAAAGGAAAGGAAAGAAAAAGAAAGTTTTTTTAAGGAAAGAAAAGGATACGTGTACCTCTTGTTTGGATAGATAAACTTAATAAAGAAAAAGAAAGGAAAGGAATCTTACCAATCATTGTTTGGTTAAAGAGTGGAAAGGAAAGTAAATGATTCATTATAATATTTTTTTCAATTATATCCTTCTTTTTATAAAATAACATATTTGATAGAATTAATCCATCAACAATTAATAAACCTACAAAATGGAATGTAAGAAGACAAATGAAAGAGACAAATCAAGGTACCTAGGGAGGAGAGTTGACAGAAGAGGAGTGAGTTGAGAAAAGAGACATGGCTTTTTTAAGTAATGTTAAATAAAAATATGGATATTATAGTCCTTTCTTAAAAAAAAATTAGGAGAGTTGACAGAAGAGGAGTGAGTCGAGAAAAGAGACATGGCTTTTTTAAGCAATGTTAAATAAAAATATGGATATGATAGTCTTTTCTTAAAAATAATTTTTTTTTAACTTTCCTTTCTGTAGCTTTTCCTCCAAACCCGAGGTATTGAAAAAGTTGGCATTATAAGAGAAACCAAGAGTTATTTTCTACCTCTTTCCCTCACCTTAAATTAAAAATTTATCCAAACAAGGGGAGGGTTTTCCCATTTCCTTCACTTTCCCCTACTTTCTTTTCCTTTCTCTCCCCTCCCTTCCATCCAAACATAGGCTTAGTTTACTAGCATGTTGGTCATTTACTGGCTCTCAATGATAATGCCTTTCATCCAACAGATTTTCGGATGGAGTGCTAATGGTCTCTTTATTTTCAGTTGGAAATGGTGGACAAGAACATCACAGTTTGCAGCTTGTTGCATCTAGCATGTCTGCTATGCGTGACGAATGCCTCACACAGCCTCCTCAGCTTGAGCTCGTTGGTCATTCAATCGTAAGTGTCTCAAGCTCAAGATTTTCTGACGCATACGGTTAGAAGTCTCATAGTAACAGAACTTGCTATAGAAGGATTCCTAGTTTTCTTCCAATCCTTTTGCAGGCATGTGTGTCAAATCCTTATCAAGATCCATTTTATGGAAGAATGATGGCAGCTTATGGGCATCAGCCTTTGGTATGGAACCTTACTCTGTTCTATCTATATAATCAAGTGAAGATGCTTTCTTATAGTATAGTTTATCATTGTACTTATACTATTTAGTTTTTATCTTGAAGTTGTGCTGCTTGGTAGATCTGTTTTCCTCTAGTATTTTATCTTTAATATGAAAACCATTCTTATGAGACATCAATGTTATATACTGATACTTGAAAACAGATTGCAGCTGGTGATTGAAGTATGAAACTTTCAGAACTAAAAGAATGACTATGTTAATGTCATTCCACTTGATAAAATTTTTGCAGTCTAACTTGCATTTGAATAAATGCAAGGCATAACCATTTTTTTTGCAAAAAGTCTAGCTTGTTGTCTCATTTTTCCTTGGTTTGAGTAGCAAAGGAATTCAACAGGATTCCGTGGTTAGCTTACTTTTTGGCATGTTTGTACATATGTTCTACTCTTAGAAGCTCACAACCTTTCTTATGATCCAAGGAAATCATTCTTGGCTCTACTTTGATACATGGGCCTTTCTTTGTTCATTCCATTTTATTGTAGGAAAGTGGCTAGAAATGGTTCTTTCTTGTCAATCCTGAATCCCATCCAAATAATGGACTCCATCCATGTAACCACGCTTGTAGAAGTTCTTGTCCTCTTATGCCACCAGCATCCTGAATGTTACATTAGAAATAACATGATTAAATCTCAATAATTTTTTAAATGACACCTTTTGAGAAGAAGAATGGCCATAAGATTGAACATTTTTAACATTGCTCTTTTCCTTAAAAAGAATGTTTTTGTTTTGCAATTGAAATGGTGGGAAGCTGTTTAGATCTTCAATTACATCAATGAAGTTGTTAGTTCTAATGATTGAAGATAACATTCTTTGATAGCATGATTCAACGAAGAATCTTTCACTGCTTTTTTTTTTTTGCTTGATTCAACAAAGAATCTTTCACTGCTTCTTTTTCTGTTGCTTGATTCAAAGAAAAATCTTTCACTGTCTTTTTTCTGTTGGTCGAGTCAACAGAGAAATTTTCACTGTCACAAAATTTTCACCATTACTCATTGATTATCATGATCAATTTTCCAAGAGATCATTTGATCCAAATGTAATATCATGGAAACACATAATTCCTTGGTATCGCTGATGGCACTTTTTAACTTGGCAAGCCATTGATTTGACATCTCAACTTTGCTTTGATACCAAAATGATATGTACCAGATAATGAGAAAGAAAGTGGAAAGAGTTTTTCAAAGGAAAACTCAACCTTTGGGGTTTCTTACTAAATTTCAGTTACAAACCTTAAGTCCAAAGTAGACATTTAACTTTTATAAAGCTAAAATTATAAAATATAATTATCACCTAATGCCTAGGATAATATCAACAAAGTTTAAATAACAAAATAAGAATCAATTCTAACTAAAACAAAAGATAAATAACCAAGTCCTAACCAAAAATGCAATTGTAATAACCAATTAAGTATTAGACACATAACATCTTTGCTTTCATATTTGGGCATCTGAAATGCAACTCACTGGTGTTCTGTTGAGGGTGTAATATGCTGGTTTTCTTCCTCTGCTGGCATGTTAGATGTGTTTCAACTGTTATTCCTAGGATATATTGCTTGGCTTCAGTTTAATACTTTTTCTGGACAAGTTTTCTGCCTTGCTAAGGTAAAATCCTATACGCACACATGCGCATGCATATTTGTGTCATTAATTTGAATTGTGGAATGGAAATGTGTGCCATAAAATATTTAACATTGAACTTTGTGAATAAATTAGACGATCATATGATATGAATATTAGAGAGATATAGGTTAAGTTGAATAACACTTCCAGCTTTAAAAATAAAGCAAATACAACTTATTTGGTACATAGAGACATACATGCATACCATACATAGATGCTTTTATAAGTAGGATATACATACATATATGCATTCATACACACATACATAGATAGACATAAATGCATACATATCATACAGACATGCATGCATACATACATGCAAGCACAGACAGACACAAAAGAAAAAGAGATGAAGTCAATAATTGGAATGAATCTGGCAAGTACGAGTGTTCTTATTGAGTCTATGGAATCTGGAAAAAAGTCTGAAAAAACTCCAAGTTAAAGGATTTTTTTCCCTTTTAACAAATAGAGCTAAACAACCTTAATTAATATTCTAGCAAGCTCTTATCTCATGCTGTTTTTTCATGCCTTGTGAAGTGAAGGGATACTTTACACATCAATGTATACAAGAAAACTATGGTTTTTTGACAAATCTCTGCTTGGCCAATTATCTCATGTGTTATGCTTAACATTGCCTAGCCGTGTTTGAATGGCTCAATACTAGGATTTTTTTTTTCATTTACACTTTTGCTTAATTTCTTAAGTTATCTTAATACCAATTCTCCTGCAGGGCTAGAAAGAGAAAGTAAAATAAAAATGGAACAAAATTGCTGAAACTAAATGAAAACTCTATTATATTTGAAGTTCACAAGAAGGTACTTGGAGGCCTGTATTTGGTACCACAATTTAGTGCTCCTTACTTAGACGGACAGTTTTGCTGGACAGTGATATTGGGAGACTTTTTGATAATTTGATGTTTGCTGATTAGATGAATAGAGAAACATGCGTTTAAAATTCAAGTTCCTTCCGATTCTTAATGGTTAGTTAATCATTGATCCATGATACCAACTTTTAAATTTCCTTCCCAGCTACAAAAAGGAAAAAGTGGTTGGTGAAACATTGAAAAATGGCTAAATAATGAACAGTGTCTGTCATTTCTTTTATGTAGTATTTTGGAAGGATTGCCTTTCCTTGTCTTGATGAGTTGGTGGTATCTTTCCATGAATTGCTTTGCCTTTTTTCCCCTGCTTTTTCTTCCTTTCTTTGAGTGGTCTTGGTGTTTTGGGGTTGACATCGGATGCAAGGAAAGGGAAATCAGATTGAAGCATGATTTTATTTATGCTAGCAGGCCTTACTCACCAAGGTCACCTGCTCTTCTTCTGTTAGTTTATATATATATATATATATATATATATATATATATAATTAGTGACAGATCCAAGATTTTTTTCTGGAGGTATCTACTTATAATATATATAAAAATCTGTCACAGATTTACTAATTTTTTTGATGCAAAGGGTGTTCATGGGAAATTTTGGGGGTGTCGAGTGAAAATTTCTTTCAATTTTTCTTATTTTCTAGTCTTTGGGGTGTCCATTGAAAAATTTTGGGGATGTCTAATGAAAAATTTTCCTTCAAATTTTCTTATTTTCTAGTTTTGGGACCCCCTTGCTCATAAGGTCGATCTGCCACTGTATATAATGTGATAGAATTTTCTAAAGCAAGACCATTCATTGTAATAAGATTCTTTATTTAAGAACCCTCTTTTGATACATGACAGTCAAAACACGGTACACTTTTAACGAATAAATGCTTGCAATGACCAGAATTATCCTTCATTTGTTGGAATGCCTCATCCAAGAATGGCTTTGCCCATTGAGATGGAACAAGAACCAGTTTATGTGAATGCCAAGCAGTACCAGGGGATTCTGAGGCGAAGGCAGGCCCGTGCCAAAGCAGAACTTAAGAAGGTTGTAAAAGCCCGAAAGGTAAACAGAAAACTGTACTCTTTCAGTTGGTTGATTGTACACTACAGTTGGAAAATTAACACTGCGCTTCTGATTATTGCACTTTAAACTAAACATATGACTACATACGCTTTCAGTTGGTCAAGCGTGCACTACAGTCAACAAAATTAACATTGATCACTATTGATTATTGCACTTTAAACAAGAGATATTTTTCAAATATTTTGTTCCTTTTTGATGTCTCACATTGCATCATGTGACTGACTATTAGAGTTTGAATAGTGAGAAACTCTCTTTTTGTTGTTAACTTGTGGGTTATTGTGGTTCCATATCCTATATCCTACAGCCATATCTTCATGAATCAAGGCACCAGCATGCTATGCGTAGGGCAAGAGGTAGTGGAGGACGTTTTGCAAAGAAAACAGATGCTGATACTACAAAACCCATGGCAGAAGAAAAAGGAACGGGTTCAGGTCCTGCCCTATCATCTCAGTCTGCGAGTTCATCAGGTTCTGAACCATTGCCATCTGATTCTGCTGAAACCAGAAACTCCTCTCTCACTCAGCAAGAAGCAAGAGGGTCCCGTGTGCATAACAGGCCTCAAGTCAATGGCAGCAGTCAATTTCAGAAACGAGGTGATAGCATCTCCTCTAACCAGGCTTCACATAGGCCTCTTGCTATCCAGTGAATGTAGGACGCCCTCTCAAAAGCTGAAGCGTTTACTCCGAACTGTTGTCCGTGATTACATCTTGGCAACTATTGTCAAGGCGGCAAATCATTCTTGGCTTTCCTCTTGTGCCTAGTTTGTGAATGGAAGGGGAGAAGGGACTGCATGGGACTCTTGACATCGTTTTTGTCTTGTCGCTGCTTCATCATTTTTCCCAAGTTGCATTTTTGTACAGATGCTGTTAAATAAACCCAATGGTAGTTGTAGTTTGTGGGAAAGATTCCATGACAAGTAGATTGTACTTGGGTTTTCCTTTTGTCGTTCGTAGTTGAGACGATTCCTTTTACAAATCTGTACCTAATGCACTTTATAGATTTGATGTAACTAGTGTGCATTTTCGAACGTTAAAATGTATGCTTTCCAATGGCCTAGTAGTAAAAACATGGAAATATGAAAATATAGCACTCTTAGATTATGTCAAATAATGGTGTTGCTCGATGCAGATTATTTTCCCTGGATAATTGTAGACATAACGCACAGATAACTATATAAACAAATCCAAAGATCAACTCAGATTGTGTCATGCAGAAGACATTTAACAAGTTTAAACTTTAGCAAATTTGGAATTTAAATATCAACGTCTGTAAATCTTTTTTACTTCTTTTTAGGTTACGAGTTCTTTTCTTAAAAAAAATATAAGAATGAATACATGGAATCACTTAATCAAAGGTTACCACAACATAAAGCACATCAAATATTTTAATGGATGTATAGTTATAACTTTGAATGACTCGACTGCCCTAGAGTTAGTGGTGTAACCTATCTTTTAAAAACACAAATTCAATAACCAAATGCCTGTATCTTTTCAGTTGATATTACACCTTTTTTTTTTTGGACAAAATCCAATAGAGGCACTATAATCCACCTACCAACATGGTATCATTCTGATGTTGATCGGTTTCCTCCAAACTTCCCCGTTTCATTGTCAGAGATTACAGTCTCTGAGGTTGCCTTGCTTTCATTTGAAAAATTACTGTTATTTTCTGTGGCATTAACCACAGTCTGTTTCTCCATCATCCCGGACAGAGCCAGGCTGGGAGACCATTCAAGGACGTCATCAATTATGTTTGACATCCGCTTCTGATACCTGCAAATGATTGAAGACAATCAATTCCAGATGTATAAAGATAAATGACTCCAAGAACACCGGTCCAGAATGATTGAACTGTTTACAATATAATCAAAAACTAATAATTCTAGATTGAGAATGAAAATGTCTTTCACCACCAAAATAAATACCTATAGACGATAATAACCCAATTTCTATTTGAGAATATTATCATGCAAATACATTCAAGATTTTCAAAAACCATTTCAGCCTTTTAAAACAAAAAGATGATTGAACTGCTCTCAGGAAAAAATTCCTTCTTAAGTAAATATTTGAACAAGAGCAGATTCGGAACTGACCTTGCTCTAGCAGCCTCATCAGGGGCATGGTGCCTCAGCAGCAGTATGACCAACACAGCCACAATAGCATAGAACAGTCTTGCTGTCCATTTTGGCCGCTCTTCTTCGTCTTTTTTGGGCCAAAAACGGAATAATTCTCGCAATGTTGCTTCCTCAGCAAGGATGTTGGGGAAGAACCAAACACGATTTCCAAGAATGACCCATGCAGCACCAAATATCGTAGCTCTCACTGCAAATTTTAAAATTTCAAACAAAATAGAAGGAAGGAAAAAGCAAAACATGAATTGACAAATGGTATAAAGCAGACCAAATACAGAAACATAGAACTGGTGATTTAAACTATAACTCAAACTGGTTATGCGAAAATAACCTTATACAGATTGGGATCACAGTCAGGCAATTCAAAACTTTTAACTCAACAACAATAAGTCCATACGTAAGGGGTTTACCAATACACTTCCACTTCTCCCCTACATTTGATTGAAAAGTGGGTTCTAGGTCCAACATGTATCTTAGGCTCACTATTTTATTCCTACTGGAATTTTTGGTGATATATCACTATTTTAGTGATATAGTTTAATGGGAATCTTTAGTGGAAAGTGAACCAATAGTGCGACTTTTCCTCTTCTTGCATAAAGTGAGTTATACCCAGTTTGAATTTTGCTATTTTTTTTCCAAAGACCATAGTTCAGTTTGTTTCCCATATCATATGCTATCATTATTTCAGTAACACACACACACACACACACACACACACACGAGAGAGAGAGAGAGAGAGAGAGAGAGAGAGAGAGAGAGAGAATATACAATCTCTATCAATTCTTAAGTTGTTATATTATGTGTCTAAGACCTAAGACAGATGCTTATTGGCAAGACATACAAATCCACCAACTAGAACAGAAAGGATGCAACCTACACGAATGTCTGTGTTGTATGTGCAGTAACCCATGTGACTGAGAATCAATGCAACTGCTTACGTCAAGTGACATTATTAGGCCAAAGTTCAGTTTTGTCTCTACATTAGCCAAAATTTCAACCTGAGCAAATAATTACACTAACATGAGATAGAACTGTGATGATATAACACCACAATCTTAGAATAACATACATGCCAACAGGATTCAATGACTAAAAACAGGGGTTTAAATATAATGTAATCTTTAATTAGCAAACAAAGCCTTGAATGGACAGAAAAAGGCTGGGATGACAACAATAGCAGAACCTTGCTCAATAGGTGTGGAATTGTAACAACATCATCCACAATGCTAGTCACAGGCTCCAAAATCAAACTAACAACTGCTTTCTTCAGCCAGCATTATCCAACTATGTTTCTTCTCTAACATGGTTAACCAAAGAAAATTTAGTTTTTAATGCCATTAAAATGTTCCTGATATAGTAAAAGAACTAATCAAATTACATAAAAAAGGATCCAATGCATATTAATATCAAATAACATCCAGAAAAAAATTAACACAGAAAAACTTACATAAAAGCAAGGAGAGAATAAGTAGAAGAACTCCCGCACACAGGTAGAGTATTAGTAATTTGCATTGATGTGGATATACAGGAAACAAGCAAATTGCAAGTGTCAACACAGGCCAGAAAAATGAGAGAAGTGTTTGCCATAACGGCCGTCGTTTTACAAACGTCCATGCAAAAAAGGCATCATTTTCAGAGAACACCTGTTCCTGCAAAAGGGACAGCACATGGATCAATTCATATAAAAAGAAGGCATTAGTTTCAGAAGAAATTTGATTGTGGCTTTTCAAAGATGAAAAGACATTTGATTTTGTAAAATAATCACAAAGAAAAGAGAAAGTATAAGCCAAGTAGCCATAGCCAATTTCAAGAACAAATGAAAGGCTGTTTGAAATGCCAATGTTAAGCAATCCAAAATAAAAGCATCTTGGGACTCCCGTTTCATCTTAAAGCAGTCTACTTTTTGTCTTCCCAAATAATCAAAACATTTCTGCTTTGGTTACAGATCATGAAAGGCATAGTGTTTTTTTTTTTTTTTTTTGTAATAATTAAAAAAAGTAATGATGAAATAAAATGAATAATGCAAGTTTAACCAAACAACAAATGCATATTACTTCAAGAGTTAATATGAAATAATGCACCATAGCATCAAAGGCACTGAAATTAGGGGCCAAGAGGTGGGGAAGGGACTGTTCAAAATGAACTTTGTAGGAAAGAAAATGATGGTGAATGGTTATAAATATAACACTGTATGTCACAGAAAAGCATCAAAGACCACATAAAACAAAAGTTGTCGTATTAATCAGGATTAAAAAAGAGATCTAGTTAAAGATGCTAAGCCTTGGTACATAGGAGACTTAAGGCTTGAGGCATGACTGATAAGATGGAACAAGTCCCTAGGACTTCTCTTCAGAAAACATACAAAAAGCTCATGAGAAAATTTAAAAAAAAAAAAAAATCAAACAGGTGATATCATAGGGCAGACCATATACACAACTCTAGGCCTAAGGTATTTGCAAATAGTAAGGGTGAAATTTCAAGGTTTCTCTAGAAAAATGTTAAAAAACAAAATAACGATTTATGATAATAAAAGAAAAGAAAGTTGGATCAGGTGTCTCATAGGGAAGAGTACCTATACAGATCTAGGTCTGCATTTAGTAATTGTGGAAAGATAACTCTTTGCATATATCAATAAGATAAACACATACAGACATAGATTACATATATACATATAGATGTTTGTGTATGAGAAATTCAAGCAGCTATACCACCTAAGAGTAAAAGCAGTAAATGATTTATAAAATATTTTAATGTTAAACAACTAAAAGACTCACAGGAAAAATTTCTAAATGTGCAGGCCAGGTAGACAACTTTTTCTTCCCCGGACGAACAGTTTTCACCACACGGTCGCAGCGCACCAAAAGAGTTTTCTGTAACAAACTATTGGCAATATCTTCAGTTTCTAGATTTCTATTTGACTCCAGTATTTCTTTAAGCTCTGGATGATTTTTTATAAAGCTTACAAAATCCTTCCCTCTAAAATATTCGACACGAGTTTCCTGCAAGACAGCCCATCTAGACACCAAATCTTTATGGTCCCTCACTTTCTCAGCAAACAACTGAAACACATCCTTCTTGGCAGCTTGTTTCTGGTTATAAAGGAAATGATACAGAAATTAGATAACAATACTGTATATAAAATTCATGAATTCCGATTAACTATAAGAATTGGCCAGTACAAGCAAATTGAAACACATGTAAACCCAAAATTCATGACACAGTGATCAGCGTCAAGCCTAAAAGGCAATACCATCAGTTGATCAGGCAAACTATGAGTAGAAATCATATTGACCACAAATAAAAATAGCATCATAAAAAGGCAAGCACAATATGTTAACATAGATATTTAAAGCATTAGTAAGCTAAAAGGCAATTTCGTTTCATCAAGTAAGTAACATTTTCTGAAGTTGTTGGGCCAACTAATCTGAACCTAAGTCAACAAAATTTCCTCAATTTTTTTCTTTTTTTTTTAAATTACCACTTTAATTCTATCATGTTCTCTACATCGAGTCTTTTAGGCGAAAAAATATCCATACTATCACTTAAACCCTTCACTTTTTTAAAGTAAAATTGGAAACATAGGACACAGAACATTCTAGGACAACATAACCCTCCCACCGTAATGAACAATTCAGACGTCGGATACGGGTGCCCGATGCTGAGAATCTATCCCTTCCTTTTCCTTTAGTGCTAAAGATAATTAAACAGAAAATTCAAAATAATATCCCATAGAATTTTTTGTCCCAATTCCCTCACAAAAACAAATGTAGTGCAGTAATCGAGCCGGTCCCAACAATTAATACGAATCAATATCCAGCTTTTTTTTTCCTTTTAGCAATTCAAAGAAAATTATATTTTTCTTTGTTAAAGAAAGTGACTGTAGTGTCTATACTAAATTCATGACATAAAAATTTCGGATCAAAATCAAAAGAAAAAATTTTTCAAAAAATGTCAAATTAAAAAAGAAAACTGTAAATCAGAGAAATGAAAAGGGCGAGGCGAACCCTAGGAGGAGTGTCGGAGCTGGGATCTCTGCTGCCGTTTTGTACGGACGCCGAAGATCTTCGAGCTTTCTTCTTCTCTACTCCTCCTGATTTCTTCATTTTCTTTCTCCTTTTCCAATTTTCCTTTTTTTTTTCTCTGTATTTTGTTTGGCTTTTGCTTTCAATTTATGTTTTCCTTCTCAGTTTTTATTTTATTTTTTGTTTCTGTTTCTTTTTCCTTTTTCGAACTTGTTTATGAGTATAAGGGAACGGTACTTCCCGTTATAGTTATACTTTGGAAATGATTCATTCAATTTTGGTTAGTGACTTAGGTTTAAACCCTTGAGCCAATAGGATTCAGCTATGTCAGCATCACAATGACGTAAATTTTCTCTTTTGTTTTTGAAATCCATATTAGATCTTATCGTTACTGTATCTATATCTATTTGTTTTATATTCATGCATATAAAATATAAAAATTATTATTATTATAATTTATGTGACATGTTAAATATCAAGATTTTTTATTTTTTTAATTTATATAATTTTTATTAAAAATTTAAATGACATTATTTTTTTATTTTTTCATATAATTTCAACCTGCCATATTTAAAATTGTTTTATAAGATTTAATTAAAATCCAATAAATCCAACTTCTATCTTCGTACTTCCCACATTTATATAAAGGAAAAAAACAAAAAGAAACTCTATTATATTAGGTGGTGAAATTTTAAATTTCACAAATAATATATAATTATTATATGACCATGTGATAATCATATATAATAATTATATGTTAATATAGTAATTTTTTTAATTATAATGAAAGCTTATATTGACGTATGATAATCATATATCATCATTTATGAAATTTAAAAACTCTATCATTTAATAATCCAAAATAAAAAAAAATTTAATGAGTAATTATAAATATAATCATAAAAGCTAGTTAAATGGTCACACTCTCTTTTTCATTTTCTTTGTTCATCTTTTTTTTTTATTTTGAATATCTCAAAATTATGTCATTTTTTTCTAAACATTTAAAACTCTTACTTTTTATATTTTAAAATTATTTTTTTATAATTTTTATAATTTTTTTAATATTAAAAATCATGAAACTTTAATTTTATAAAAAAAAAATTAAAATTTAATATTAAATACATTAAAAATAAATTTTTTTTTTATTTCTTAAAAATCTACACATAAAAAATATTTTGGGACGGAGTATATTTTTTTAAATGAATTTTCATTAATATACATTTATCACTAAATTAAAAATATAATATATCAATTACAAAATTCATTTGTATCAATATCATCTTAATGTCACATGAAGCCGTATCTAGTTAGATTTTGAAGTGGGACCATCCCCTCATAGCATATTACTGTCAAACGCGGAATCTCGGATTTTTCAGACAATCTTCTAATTGTTCTTGGACAACCATAAAGAGATTCTTTAACCAGTCTCAGGAAAATGGGATACCAAGAATCAAAAGTTACTAGAATTAAATCGTGTTTTTGTTGCGTGATTTTTTTTAATTTCTTGAATTATGTTTTAAATATGAGAGAATTAAAATTTTTATGTCAAATTTTAATTAATGATAATATACAGATAAATATAAATGTATTTATTTTTATATAAATTATAGCTTAATTGTATATAAATAAATTTTTTTATTAAATTAAGATATATATTTATTAAAATAATACATATATAAATATAAATTAAATAAATAATAAAATATACTATTTTATAAATCCTTACGAGAGTTGGAGTAAAGCGTCTTAAGCTCGATTTTCACTTAATTCAAATTGTTTAAAGAGATAAAAATTAATTTAATTTTTATTTATTTAAATAAAAAAATCGAAACCTATGAATTTTTTTTCTTTTCTACATCTATTTACTATTTTAAAAAAAATTATCTAATAAAAAATTTAAAGAACAAAAAAAAGGATAAAAACAAAGAAATCAAATGAGACGGTATGTAAATTTTTTAAATTAAAATATTAAATAATATTTTAAATAAAATACAAATATAAATATAAAATTATATAATAATAAAAAATATATATTTTATATATATCAAGGTCGAGGTCTAACACCAAAAACCTTATTATTATTCGATCTCAATTTTAAAAAAATAAAAACTTAATCCAATAATCTAAAATTTAACAAAAATACACTAATTGGATCAAAGTAAACCAATATTTATTTCATAGGGATTATTTTGTCATCTCTATTTTAATTATTTTTTTATTAAAAAATTTATCTAATAAAAAAACAAAAGTAAAAAAAATTTTAAAAAAATGAAACAAAAAATTAAAAACTTAAAAAAATAAAAATAAAAATAAAAACAAAATAAATGAGGTGTCACGTGGACACCTGAGATCGAATGAAACATTTTAAATCCATCTTCAACTCGAACTCATTTAAAAAAAATTAACTTGATCTTTATTTTTTAAAAATACATCTATATTAGATTAATACAAATTAAAATCAATTAAAAGTGGATTGTTTTGTCTTTCTTACTATTGACTTTTTAATACAACATTTATTTAATAAATAAATTAAAATTAAAAAAACCAAATAAAAAGTTAAAAAGTGGATTAAATAAAAACAAAATTAAAAAAATATAAAAAGTAAATTTTTGGAAGAGGGATAGGGTGTCCCGTGAGGACTCTCTCATCTCTCCAAAATCTACAACTTCAATATAATAGATAGATAAATAAATAATAAAAAATATTTTTTTTTTATATACTTATAGTATGGAGTATGGTAGAATATTCTAAATCTACTTTCAATCCAACCTCAATTTAAAAAAAAAATTAGATTTCAAATTAAAATATATCTATTATTAGATCAAAATAAATCAAAATCTATTGAATATGAATTTTTTTATTACTACCTTCAATAAATTTTTTACAAAATATATCTAATTAAAAAATTAAAGTTAAAAACTCAAAAAATAAAGAATAGCAAAATATAAAAAAAAAAAATAAAAAGGAAGAATGGATATTAAAAAAGAAAAAAAAAACAAATTAAAAACAAAAATAAAAAAAAATCTAATAAAAAAAAAAAGAGATACTATATGGAGACCCTTCTCATTTTCAAATCTCTACAAAATTAACTAGTAGATTAGATAAGAAAGATATACCTTCTATAATATAATATAATTTAATTGAACGTTACAAGTAAAAAAAAAACTAAACTAATGCTAGTAACGTTAAAAACAAAAACTAATAGTGGCAAGGTTTGTTAATAAAATATTAAAATTTTAATTTTAATAATTAAAATTCAAATATGAACACTCAAATAAAAATATCCCAAAGTGGTTGACCCAATTACTTCACTCTTAAAATTTTCAATTCAAGTTCTACTGATGCACAACATAATTGGAAGCAAAATGCCAAGCAAGCAATTGCATTCAAACAAAGGAAAAGACTGTAATAACCCCTTGAAAGTTTTATCTTGAAAGAAACCCATGTTTCAAGTGGATATGGTTTAACTATTCCCTTTCCATTTGCCAACATAAAAATGGTTTCTCTCCATTTTTGCTCGCTTCAAAGAAAGCGTCTCCCACTTTTTAACACCAACCATTCAGCACTTATCTCTCAATTGATTGAACATGGTGGGAATAATAATGCCAAGAAAACAATAAACTTATCATCTTCTTCTTGGATTGTTCGTGCAGTGGAGAAAGATTCAAAGCAGTTTGAAGTAGACCCAGAAAAGGCTAAAGAAGCCCTTCAAAAGCTTGACCAGCAGCTGCAAACCCTCTCTAACAAACAAGTCAGCACTCCTAAGATCAGAGGTAATCTTTCTCCCTCTATTTATCTTTATAGTCTTCAATTCTTAGTTGCGCTGTTGCTTCTTCTTTTCAAGTAATAAATGAGCTCAGTTGTGATCTAGTTAGAACTGACGTAATCCAGAAGAAGCATAAATGAACAAAATATTTAAAATACCAAATCATGTCTTTTTACCGTTGTTTTGTCGTAAATTGCCCGGATAGTAGCATCAAATTGCATCTGCTCTGTTGAATTGAGTGGCTTCTTTAGATAAAACCCTGGTCTTGACTATTTAGTGTTGGCTATCCTTGTAAGCATGCCTTCATTTCCTAATTCCCTCTGAATCATCAAGGAGTTAGTTTTCACTATGTAACTGTGAAACATGATTCTGAAGACTAATTTAGGCTCCTTTAATTTTCTGATTTATGCAATTGCAAATGGCAAGTGACAAGTTTCTTCCTTTTCTTGAGTGAGATAGTCTCCTCTCACTCTAAAGTTTTATGTAAAAAAAAAAAAGGAGAGAATTGTAGCAGAACGAAATGATAAAGAAAATGCTTATGGTTCCTTTTCTAGAAATGCTTAAGGACAAAGCAAAGCTGTGTTAACAGTTAAGTGTTGTGAAGGCAAAGTAATAGGTTTCAGGTTGACCTATTCCAAATCTCCAATGCCAATTTGAATTCCCAAAATCGTTTACTAGGTTATGCCCATTTGGTTATAAGTTTTTGGCACACTTGATTCAACCGTATTCTAACACGTTGAATCAGCAAAAAACTTAGTTGAAAAGATCATCTACTGGCATACCAACAATGGCCGTTGGCGAAATGTGGTAACACGTTTTTTTTTTTTTTGTAAACTAATTGCAGCATTAGATGTAAAACTTACAAGAGACAAAATGGTGGAAGATACCCCAGAAGTTTCAGGGTCTTTCTTGGCATATTTAACTATTGCTCTCCTTACTTTCACAATCTTTTACAATATCTGTTTTTATGCGGTGATAAAGCCATCCATTGATGGACCAGAGTCAGCTCCACAATCTAGCAGCCAAAGTGAGTCAAGGGGTGCAGCAGTTTTGCAGTAGTTGCCACCATTAATACCAGAAGTTAATTTCTCTTCAATGTTGTTTAGAGCTTAAGAGCATATTTTTATTCATGTAGTTAAACTTGAAGCATACTTTAAACAATATATATATATATATATATATATAAACCAAAAGGCGATGCAAAGCAAAAAAGTATGTAAAATTTGAAGCATACTTGCTCTGGGAATAATAAATTAAGAGAATAAAGGAAGTTAAATCAAAGGAAGAAGTAGAAGATAAATCAATCAAGGCACTTAATAATGGAAAATAAAGGAATCCTCCAAGTTTCTTTCAAAACTCTGTGCTATTATGGGCTATGAGACGCAAGCCCACATTATTTTCAATTAATTAATGGGCCAAAGGGCAACAATCTGTAAGTTCTACACATTAAAATCTTGATCAGAGAGATTGCTAATGCCTTTCCCACCACTTCATATGTTTTTCTACTTTTTTTTTTTTTTGCGCCTTCACCGTATATTCATACTTTAAAGGGCTTTTGATGTATTAACATATTTTGGTTCGCTCATTTATTTGAAACTGAAAGTTAGGAATGTAATAAGTGAAATTCAATTGGAAATGTAAGATGTGGAATATAAATGAAACTAGATTATAACTCGCGCGATGCACGAATCGATTTTATTTATTTAATATGAATATATATAATTAATTTTTTTAAAATTATATTCAAATATTTAAAATTCATAACATATATAAAATTTATATATATTGACTTGTTATTAAAAAATAAATTTTTTAAAAACAACAAAAAAAGTCTTTCCTTTGAATATTTTTGTTTATAATAATATTTATATACCTATAAAATCATATCATATAAAAATAAATTATGTCTTCTTTTAAAAAATATATATATATTTTTTGAATGATAAATTAAATAATAAAAGAAGTATTACCACACTTTCATTTTAGTAATCTTGATTAAATTATTATACAAAATATAAAAAAATGTTAAAAAATATATGAAAAAAAAATAAATTGAAAAAAAATTATTTTCCATAAGAATGAAACTTTAATAATAATAATAAAATATATCTTAGAAAAAATTTATAAACAAAAAAAAAAATTGCAATAGCAATAGAATATACCTTAAAAAAAGTTATTGAACAAATAAAATATTGATATATAACACATTGCATTTGTAGTCTTAAATTTGTAGACTAATTTTTTAGTGGCAATTAGGATTAAATAGATAATTTTTAAAATTTAAAATGGATATAATAAGTGATAAAAATAATATTAAATTTTTTGCATTTATTTGAAATATAAATTTGATAATTAAAGTTCAAATTGATATAATTATTTTGATAATCTTATTATTTAAATATTTAAAATGAAAATTTTTTGAAATTTCAAAATCTTACATAAAATTGCTTGAATTTTTAATGTTATACGTAAATTTTTTGAAAAGATAATTTTTTAAATCAAAATTTTTAGATCAAGATAAAAAAGATTGTTGAAAATCTAGATAAACTTAATCTTTGTAATTTTTAAATATGTTTGAAAGATTTTGATAATTAAATAATTTTTTAAATAAGGTTATTTGATAAACAATTAAAATTATTTATTAAAAAAATAAAATCCATATTTCATATTTTTAATTTTATAATATATATCTCTAAAATAATTTGATTTTCAATTATAGTTTGAATAATTTTGATATTTGAATAAATTTAAAATTATCTAATTTGTAATTAAAAGAAATTATCTTATTCTTTTAAAAAATTATCCTATGTGTTATTTAAGAGAATTGTCCACATAAGCGCTTATGTAGCAAACTTATATATTTATATTGTTATATATATATATATATATATATATATATATATAAGATTTGATAATGTAGGATAATTTGAGCTTGTCAATAAAAATTTTAAAAATTTTCAGCATATCACCTTATTGAACACATTTGTAACTTATGGATGAGAATTTGAGGCTTTTTAGATGAGTTAACATTTGTAACTTAGCAGTAAATTAGAGTTAAAATGTTGATTTTTTACTCTTAAAAGGAAAACTCAGTTACAATAAAAGAAACATACTGGTATGACATGAAGAATTAATTTTCAATTTATCAAAAAAATTAAAAAAAAAAAAGAAATAACCTTTGTCATCTCCTATTATCTTTCGTTTCTATTGAGATTTTCACAGGAACCCTGACTTGAATATAAGCACAAAAATATCCAAACAAGGTTGTCAAACTTTGACTAACTTTTGACCTCACCAGTGTTATTGGGTTTGGATTAATCTAAAACTAGAATTTGGCCCGGATTGATATTTTCATCGATTTTTTTATTTTTAATACACTTATTATCATTTTAATATAAAATAATAAAAATTTTAATAAACATAAAATATTATAAAATATTAAAAGTTTAAAAAATTAAATATAATAGTTAATATGTTATGATTATTGTTTTTTGTTATTAACTTTTCATGTTATGTTAGAAGTTTTGTGATTTTTCAAAATTATTTTCTCAATTGTATAATCTTTTCAATTTATCGTATATTATAAAATTTTTTTGTGAAAACAAAAAAATATTATAATTTTTAATGAAAAATTTTTTATTTTTAAATATAATACTTCACAAATATATAATAAAATTATACCTCACAAATAAAAAAAAAAATCTCATTTTGAATTTGGATTTACGTTTTCAGCTAACCTAAATGAGCCCAACATTTGACAAAAAAGTCATAAATGCACGAATCACCTTTTATAAATTCAAAATTTTCAACTTCACATTCTGTCGTGCAACTAATTTTAAAAATATGGTAGATTTTAAAAAATAGTTGAACAATTAATTATTAAGTGACATGTGCATTGTTACTAGAGCTCAATTATACAGACTAGGGTGGTAACTCGGCTCCGATCATATTCATTTAAAGTTTTTTTTTTTTTTTTTTGGCTTGTAGTACAAAATTTTTGAAAAAATAATTAAAAAAATTGATTGTTGGAATAGGTAAAAACATTGAAAGATTTTATTTATATTCTCTTAAATTGTACAAAGTAGAAACGAAATGAGATTATAATGAAATAAAATTGAATTCAATTATAGATAAAATAAAAAAAGTAATGTAAAAATAGCTAAGAAATAAAAATATGAATCAAATAAGAGTTCATGCACGTGATGTTTATAATCTAAACAATTACAACTTTAATCAAATTTTAAAACTCAAAAAACAAAAGTAACAATAAAAAAATACAAAAAAAGCAAACAAATAAATAAATCATCGGAAATAACATAAACATTTCAAATCTCTCTCATTTTTTTCATTTTCTAAAAAAGTAAAAAATAAACTTAATAATTTCAAAAAATTGAGACCAAATCAAGCTTTCATATGATTAAAGATGGTCTCAACATGCAAAATTTCATTATCTCTCTAGCTATCCTTTTCTTCTTATTTTCTTATCATCTTTTTTTTCACACGTTCTATTCCTTACTTTTTTTTTTCGAGCCTTTTAACATATTTTTGGTGGACTTGCCATGCAACCCTTGATATCATTCATGAATACCAAATTTAATTCCATGAAAATGATTAGACTAATTTAGATACTTTTAAATGGAAAGCTAGCTTTAAAGTATAAACTTACCAATAATTAGAGCCCAAACATTTATAATACACATCAAACACCCATATAAACCCACAGCTCAAATGAAAAACTCAATAAAAACAAATACTCTTGTCACTTGTAGGATTGTTGGGGTTATTGCTATGTAAACACATGATTTAGGACCTAAAATTCCAACATCTATTAAGGCCTAGCCTAAAACTATCCCACAACAAAAAATGCCAAATAATAATAATAATAATAATACACATGTCAAACTCTTATACCATTCAGGATATGTTTTATATAGTGTTATATAGATGTTGCATTATTAAAGTATTGATTGTGATATAATCATTCACAATTATAGTAAGTTTAAAGTTTTCAATTTTTTTTAGCATTAAAAATTTTTAAGTTCTGTCCATTACATTTTTTAAAATTAATTTAAATAAATTTATAAAAAATAATTTTTATAATAGAACATACTTTTTTTATTACTTAAAAAATGTTGGTTAAAGTTTTAAACTCTAATAATCTCTGTAAGCTTGCAAATTTCAACTTGCTTGGTAACTGGTAAGTGCATAAGCATCACCTATCTTTTGTTTTCTTTAAAGTAATCCAAATTTTCTTTAAAAAAAAGAAAAAAAATATTTTCAAATAAAATCTTTGAAAAGTACATTATATGTTGTGCTCAAAATGCATGCAAATGCATTTCTATTTTTAAAAATTTTTGTATACATTTCAAAAGCTTTATTAATAATTTACCAATAACAATAAAATAAAAGAAAAACCCAAAATATAAAAAAAAAAATTGGGTTTTTACCTTTTTTTTATTATTTTGAAGTTTGTTTGGGAATTCTAAATGAAAATAATTTTAAGAAAAAAAAAAAAGACAAGAGGTTTCTTCTCTTTCCTCTTTTTTCCATTGTTGAATTCAAGAGAAAAATGAAAAAGAAAAAAAAAAGGGAGAGAAGCTCTTTGCAAGAAAAGAGCTTTGACTCTTCCTCTCTTTTTTTCTTATTATCTCTTTTATTCTTTTCTCACAAATTGAATCTCATTCCTTTCACATTTCACTCAAATATAAAAGTTCAATTTATTTTTTTTCTCACACATTGAAACTCCTTCCATTCACATTTCATTTTACTTTAACACTTAAAAGAAGTTTCATTTCATAAACCCTTCTAGATTTTTCTTAAAGTCTTTTCTGAGTAACAAAATTGTTTGAAGAAAAGTAGGTTGGTAAATTTTTTTCGTTTTGTTTTGAAACAAGTTTTTTGTCTTTGTTTAAAGCGGTCCATTTTTTAGGAAGATTTTTTGGTTTTTTTTTTTTGTTAAAGGGGGATGTTTCTAGAGAATATTACTTTTTTGGGTTTGGTTTTGTATGTGAAATCTCTTTCATAGGGCATTTGGTTGTAGAGAATCTAAGATTTTTTTCCAAAATTTTGTTTATGGGAATATGATTTTCATGTTTGGTTCACGAGTATCTGATTCTCAAGAGTAATCTTATATTCCTAATAGTACCTAAAAGTCTTGGAATCATAAACTCACTTCTACTTATGGGTTTTTAATATTCTGACAAAAAAGTTACTTTTGTCACACATTTGACTTGAATAAAAAATATTTTCTTTCTACTTTACTGCCATGAAAATCAAAATATAAAAATTAAATAATCGTAGATTGCTTTTGTTCTGAAATTTTTTTAATTGAGTAATCTTTTT